TAAATTTTGCATGCTTTTGTATAATGGCTGAATAGCAGTACCTACTCAAATGTAACAACTACCATCCTGTAAAAAACCTATCCAATGCAAATAAAACATTTCATTTCATTTCATTTCAACCATTCAAATAATTGCTCCTAAATTAAAGTTTAGGCGCTATTTATAAAAATGAATCTTCATGCGTGAACAGCCACCCTTAGAGGTGAATAATTTTCTTCAAAATGAAATGGGACCGCTATGGAAGTACCCCCTTTCTACCAAAAAAAGAATCATGAAAATCAGTTCACAAATACCGGAGTTATCGCGTAACATACATACAAAAAAAAAGAACATACAGTCGAATTGAGAACCTCCTCCTTTTGTGAAATCGTTAAAAAATGAATGCCTCGAATTCAGAATTGTTCATAATTTCATTTTTATTTCACAAACATACTCCCATGATCGAGATACCAATCCACTATACCTATATGAAACTATCAATATATAAGTACTGGTTTTGAGGAAGGTTATTTCAATATAACACGAGAGTACTGTGATGAATACCTTAAGTTATTCAAATTTTGTTTAGAACCTGTTGGTACAACTATAATAGTAATGTGATAACCTTAGAGCGTTTGTGCACTGCGTCCGATTCCTATCATTTCCGAATCCGAAACTTCACAGGGATTATTTTTTTTATAATATTAAGTAACGGGACGAACAATCCGTCCGTTTGATGGTAAGCTACACGCTTATTCATAATAGTTGCAGTGCCACTCAGAGCTTTAAATCGCAAAAGATCTGAGCGGCACTGCCACTGTGCCCCTCACACTGAGACATAAGTTGACAAGTCTCATGTGCCTGTAATTTCACCAGCACCCTTGCCCTTCAAAAACGGAGCACGGCAATGTTTACATTACTGTTTGGCGGCAAAAATAGGTACGGTGGCAGAACTTTGACGAACCTAAACGAACCCTTTCACAAGGAGCTCTACTGCTTCTATTTTAGGTGTACAAGCGATATTCGTATCGAACTTAGTGCACAAGAGACATCCGAAGTGGGTCTGATTTTTTTTATTTGTATAGTCCCGGATTCTCAACGAATACAAGGCGGATGCAATGCGCAAATGCGCTTACGCTCCGAGCGATGTGTGACAATGACACGCTGAACTATATAAGTATATTATACTACACTCCCGGACACATAATTCGAGCCACCTCGCCTTTTCGGTATTAAATGCCCTAAACTTAAACAATGTTCGGTTGATCAAAAACTATTAAGCAATTTTGAAACTAGCATACTAAACGTCTTTTCCATAAATCCTTGTTGGAAATTTGGATTTGCAAAACAGGGGAAAAACTTTTTTTTCGACGATAACACTACTTTTGTATTCTAGCCCTTTTAAGACAAAAATGCGAGGTGGCTCGAATTATGTGTCCGGAAGTATATATTATTACTTTAGTCCGGTTTGTCGCGAACCACATGTTGAGGCTTGAACGAGTACGGATAGTCAGAAAGATGCGGTCATGCGCTGATAGGCTTTTGCATTTAAAATACTATCGCTTGTAATAAGCGAGGGAACTTATTCCATTTAATGTTTAATGTTCGCAATTTGTCTACATTTGCTCGCTAAATTTAACTTCAGAATTCCCTTCTAGATGGTACTGAGGTACGCTATTACACCTTTAGTGCAATCATTCCGCAAGACCGTTCTTGGTTTTAATTCCTGTCTCTTCAGGATTGGCAGATAGTATAATAGTAGTAGGGTGATTAGTGACTTATTTTCGTATTTGCTTTATAAATTTCGCAAAACAGTTTTATTAAAATAATTATAATTTTTTTATTAAAAACTTGTCATGTTTTATTGAAATTGGTACCGGAAAGCTTCATCCCCTAGTTTGCCACCTTTGAGGTGGAATATTTTCTTCAAATTTAAATGGGATTAATACTGAGGTACCCTCTTTCCAACAAAAAAGAATCAGCAAAATCGGTTCATAAATGCCTTAAGAAGAGTACTCGATTAACATACATACAAAGAAAATTTCGAATTGAGAACTCCTTCTTTTTTAAGTCGTTTAAAAACAAAGCAAAAAACGAGTCTTGTTAATTTTTTTTACAAATATTACGACGACTTTCGTGGTTGAATGGCTTGCACACCGCTTTTCATGGTGTCGCCATCTCTGAGGCCCCGGGTTTGGTTTCGAGCCGGGTTAATGTAGAAAGTAACTTTTATATACAGTCTCGGGTCCGGGTGTTTGTGGTACTGTCGTTGTTTCCGATTTCCACAACACAAATGCTTTAGTTACTTACTTTAGGATAAGAGGAACGTTTATGGTGTTGTCTAATATTTATTACTTATACATATATTATAACTTTTTTTTGTATAAAAATCTTTTATTTCGACTCTTTTAGTTTTGTTGTTATTTTTTGTTTGTAATTTTTTTTTTCTAAACAATAATATACTATACATACCTTTATGTACAGAAACGTATATATAAATACTAGATGTTTTTGTTGTGCAAACCATTCAATGTTCTTTCCGTTATTTTGTATTAACAGCTTTAAATAAAGCTCCCATTCACTGGCTGTCCTCTGGGAACAGTTTGTGTCTACTTGTAGTTTTATTTCATGATAGTGACCAGTTGATCGATGGCATGTCATTGTGCGAGTCTTCTATAAGATAGTTAAGTTCTCAGTGCATTTATTTTTAGTATATCACAGTGAAGAATTTCTCACAAATTCTGCCTCCATAATCCAAGCAGTAGAGTTTCTTGTGAAAGAGTTTGTCCTGGGAAGTACTGCCACCTTACCTATTTCTGCCGCCGAGCAGTAATGTGAGCTTTACTGCGTTCCGGTTTGGAAGGGTAAGGGTGCTGGTGATATTAGAGACACACGAGATTTGCCAACTTATGTCTCCGGGTGACGGGCCAGTGGCACTTCAACTGTTATGGACAGGCGTGTCGCTTACCACCAGGCGCACGATTTGTATATCTCGTCACTTGATACGATAAAAAAGAATAAAACAATGGAGAGCTAATACTCTAATAGTCTAGATAGATAAATAAACGCTTTAGCACACACAAGAACAAAAACAATACATAGACAGCTTAAAACAAATATGGGCGAACGCGGCGTCATCGCTAAGAGCGATCTCTTTCAAACAACCATTGAGATATAGGAAAGCTAATCAGAGCGTTATACGTAGTGTGCTAATTGCAAAATTTGAATTGCATAGATATAAAAAAATTTACATTATATTTTGTCAAATAATAAATAGCGATATAGTATACTTACATATCGCACTATTAATACAATAGTGTATTAACTCAAAAAGTGCATTTTCTCAGAATCGACGAAAAACGAATTACTCTCTCCGATGACAGTGCGATATATATTATTTTCTACTATTTATCATTTTCTACACAAATTTATTTATTTTATTTTTTTTTATTTATGATAACTTGTTACATTATTAATTCATAATCTTAAACTTAACAGTATTTTATAAACTAAAGTAAGTTTTTCTAAATACCGACGATTAATCGCTAATGAAATACTAAATACAGCTTCACATGAAAAAAATAAGCGTAATAGATAAGCATCATCGTCAACTCAATTTACGTTTCATTACTGTCTTTCCATATGGCAAATGGAAAGACATACGCCCCGACTATCGACTGTGTGTGTTTAACTGCCTCCGTGACCGAACGGTTACCATACCGGACTGCCACGCAGAGGTCCCAGGTTCGATTCCCGGGCCGGGAGAAATTGTTGTATGGCCTACAATTATTTCTCTCGTGAGTTTGGGTGTAATTTGTGGTTGTCTATGTGTGTCCATGGCACCCGTGACACAGGGTTTCCCTAGTGCGGGGCTATGTTGAGTGTGTGCGTTATTTAAGTTGAGTGTGTGTGAACTGGCAACGGATACTATGTCAATTCTGACAACTTTACAGGATGAATAAAAAACTTGTTTGCGTCAGTTATGTAGCATCTGGTTTACTAAATAAAAATACCATTGACTTACAATTATATGGACGTCGGGTCCGCGCTAAAAAGTGTCCGCACTTGTAAGGCGCTAAAATCGTATACAGAGCGCGACACTCCGCTTTAGTCTTCATTTGTTCTACGGACAGCGCGATACTGCGATGACATAACAATTTAAATTTCGAATAGGTTGACTTGGGACATTTTTTTCGTGGTTTTTGTATTAGACCCGTCGTCCATTTATTTGTAAGTCAATGAAAAATACGTAGTTTTTAAATATTTTTATTACACATATTGTTAAAAACAATGGAATTTCTTGCAATGCTGCGGAGTTTGAAATAGTATAAAATGGTATTAAAAAGTGAAATTTTTGTAAAATTTAGATAGTACTTACCGGTTGCCAGTTCACGGACGATATGTCCCTAAGAAGAGTTGGGTAAGCTTTTTAAAACTCTAACCATATCGTATACGGTAAGTTCTTTCGAAGTTACTACTTAGATACGACTTTCCAGCAACTGTAAAACTTTTACCAAAAAAGTCTTGTAAGAAGGCTTCACTGGTTCGTCACGTAGGTACTTATTCCATTTAAACCCGGCTCAAGTACGCCAACCTTAGCCAGTCCTGTAGCTTTGTTCTTGTTGAGGTGGAACCCTTAGAACGGGGGGGCTATAAACCACCTCTTGCCACGATATCTCAGAGCATGGCTTTCGATAAAAATTGTCACCTATAAATAGTTGATGTTCTTTTGTTTTAAATACAAGAACAGAAAATCAACTACTTGAAGGTGGAAAATTTTATTTTATTTTTATACTATTATTTTTATTTTATTTTACTAATTCTCATTTATTTATTTATTTAGAAGAACCAAAAAGTCATTAGCTTAATAAAAAAAAAAGTTAATTATATTAAGTATATTTATACTGGGAAATGAAACCATTTTTCCGGATTTCAATCGCGTATATTTGTTTTTTTCAAACAAACCAACGTTTTGGGTTTTACATTTACACTATATTCTTTGTAAATTGCCATGTGTACAGGAGAAGGGTTCTCTACCGTGGGGTGACGTCACGCAGCTCCAGCCAAGTCAAAACTCCAAGAAAGTTGGTAGAAAAAGGTTTATTGCCGTCAATAACAATTACACATTATATGCGGAAGATCCGGGCAGTTTTTCTAACAAGGGCCTCGACTCCTGGAAATCGTTCCGAAACGATGAGTTTCACTCTATATGAGCGTACTTCGATATCAGAAAGTCCGGGCAGTAATTCCCAAGAAGGGACTCAACTTCTCGATTGCCTTCCTGAGTGTTCTCAACATAAACAAAATTGTGTTAAAGTAGTCACCATTCCAGGAAAAAATCTTAACGCCGCGATTCAGAAATCATGTTTTCTATGCCAATGCCATCTAGCGGTAAACTTTGGAACTATTCTTACAAACAAAATTAAAATTATTATGATCAAATAGGTTTGTTACACATGTAAATATACGTACAAATTTCATTACAGGCACTACCAGTAATTTGACCTTAAGGCCTCTATTAAAACACGACAATAATTACCTAGAACACATAAAACTTAACAACCAATAGCTTTTATCACCAAGGCCAAAGCAATTTGCAAAATTAAATAAAAAAAACAAACCATCAATAAACAGCCATTCTGCGGCAAAAACTCTCTAAATAATTAACTTTGTAATAAGCATTCGAAGTCCCTAAATTCAGTTACACTTTATATGAAAACTTGAGTCATCGTTTAACCATAAATGTGTCTAGTCTCGTAATTTACACACTAATTGCGTGAAGTTAGAAGGACTTGGTGAAAGAAATACAAACGACAGAAGTCATTATGCAAAAAAATATTAATTAAAAGTGAGTTATTAATACGCAATGCTGTGATGTCACCACGCCCATTTGCACCCTAGTGACTTCTAATAGCTTGCTTTTTACTTCAAAGGGACAATCCAGGAGGGTGTGTTTTTGAATAGCTAATAAGATTCCGTAATTTTAATATCGCCTGTTCCCTTTGTTAAAAATTAACCATAATAAATTGAGAAATGTACGCACGAATATAGATTCTACCATGAGGTAAATATTTTTAAACAAAATGTTAATTTTTTTTATGATACCTACTGACCAAACGAACAAGTCGTGTACCTGGTGTTAAGCGACACGCCTGTTCATAGCAGTTGCAGTACCACTCAGAGCTTTGAATCGTAAATTTTATTATTTGCGATTACCTTGAGACGTACATAAGTTGACAAGTCCTAGAAGTAGGCAAGGTGGGAGTATTACCCTGGACGAGCTCTTTCACAAGGAGATCTACTGCTCCTTTGGTTAACATTATGAGTAGGTATATGTGACTTATAATAATAAGTTCAAAAGATGTTTACTTCTACCGATACTTTAAAATTAATTACGCTGAGCATTGACTTACAAATAAATGGACGACGGGTCTAATACAAAAACCACGAAAAAAATGTCCCAAGTCAACCTATTTGAAATTTAAATTGTAATGTCATCGCAGTATCGCGCTGTCAGTCGAACAAATGAAGACTAAAGCGGAGTTTGGCGCTCTGTATACGATTTTAGCGCCTTACAAGTGCGGACACTTTTTAGCGCGGACCCGACGTCCATATAATTGTAAGTCAATGACGCTGAGGCACGCTTTAGCTATACAGGTTGTTAATGTAAATGCGTTACATACCATGCAAATAATATTTATTATACAGTTCACCTTATCAGACACGCCGCGTCACGATTCTTAGATCGTGATGCTGCATTAATATCGCTGTGTTCTAATACTACTCTGTACATTTCCATAAAATATCTGTCGCGACGTCAATAACGTGGCAACACGTCACCTGAGACGCTGTACATAAAACTCAATTTTAACGCTGCGAATTTACAATAAAACATTCGCGCTGTCTCCGCTTTTCCGAAAAATTACAATGCACAACATTGTGTAAATAAGTTTCACTGTGTCTACATTATGCGGCTACATTTATCATGCATGCAGCTGAATCTCATGCATAGAAACAATTCGTTGTGATTTTGGAGTACTTTAATAGAGATTGTATTTTTTATTTTACAATATTTCAAGGGGTCATTCTAAATACCAAAACGAAACACTTCTACAAGGAGGGGACAAAATAAAAAAAAAATCCATCAACAATTCCGTTCTAAATACTGTACCTACTTAAACAACATTTAAATGGAATAGCTGATAAAGTGGTCGTTTTCGTCTCTAAAATAACCCGCTGAAATATTGTGACAGAAATACTAGAGTAGAAAGATGACTACGTATATGCCATACCAACAATAAAATGAATTAAACCACTAAATTATAAAGAAAGTATAATATTACATTGTGTATACATAGTACTTTGTTTTGTACACCTTAAGAAACAGTGTACAACTATGTTTACGCATAATTATACTTAGTATTTAAATTTATATTGAATTGATATTCAATTATTTTTTGTGAAATTACTCCACTAGTTTGTTATAATTATTAATAAAGAAAGCAAAGATCTGAGGGGCTCTGTCACTACGTTCGTCACCCTGGGACATAAGTTGACAAGTCCCATGTGCCTGTAATTTCACCAGCACCCTTACCCTTCAAAAATGGAACACAGTAATGCTGGCGGCAGAATAGGTAAGGTGGCATTACTTAACTGGACGAACTCTTCACAAGGAGCTCTTCTGCTACTATATGTGCTTGTTGTCGGATCTTTGTATTTGGTTTTCAACAACGTTTTAGCCAAATATTTTGTTAAGCTTAAATATTTTGTATTTTATATATTTTATTATCAATTTTATATCTTATAGAATTTTTAAATTGCAGTTCACTTTTTACTTTTTGGCGTTTTTATTTTTTGTATTTTGATTTGCGTACTTTTTTTTATTTTTTTTTAATGGTAGATGAAAACACAGCTACGCGTTAGAGACACATGTGACTCCAGGACGCTACAGTACTAAAATTGTTAGGAAGGTCGTGTGTCTTTAGAATGTGTGACAGGTTAACTTTCCTTTAAAGCTCGTGCACATTTACGTATTTTAAATAAATTGTAAGTACTTTCTTTTACTCTTGCTTAGTACCCGTGCCCCATTCTACAGTCCACTACAAGAACTTACTTTCCTCTTTTTCTTATCTTATAGATGGCATATACTATAATGCTTGCATCGCGGTGAAAGCATTTGCCATTTTGACGTAAGGTATCCGCCGATTGTTGACGGGTGCGCCAGACGTTCAGATAAAGATTGGTATCGTCATGCGGAGAGGTTCCTTTCGTGCACCGCTTACTCTCTGATAAGTAGTGGAGCTCCTTGTGAAAGAGTTTGTCCATGGAAGTACTGCCACCTTACCTATTACTGCCGCCAAGCAGCAATACTGCGTCCTGCGTGCTGTGAAATTATAGGCACAAGGGACTTGTTTACTTATGTCCCAGGGTGACGGGCGCAGTGCTCCACAGATCTTTGCAATTTAAAGCTCTGAGTGGCGCTGCAATTATTATGAATAGGCGGTAGGGCACAACTTGTTTGTCCCGTCACTTGATATTATAAAAAAAATAGCGAATGCTGAAACAAGACAGTGGTTTTTAACCAGTGAAATCAAATCTAATTAGTTTTGCGATGGACGAAGGCTCAATATTGTGCTTCATTTATGTCAAAGCGGCTCTATATTTCTGATTGCGTAACTCAGACGGTGTCAGGGCACGAAATGATAACACAAAAAGTTAAATGAGTCATTTTAATAACCTGCTGAGAATTGCCTTTCCATTTATTCTCATTTTATTGCGGTTTCAGAAACTTTTGTCATTTTAATATACCAAATAAAATTATAGCTAGCTGAATCACAGCGCTGAGGAATTATTTACAGTTTTTAAGGGTAAATATCTTTATTTTTTTTTAGTTTCCACTTGCATTAAACTTAAGTACGATTTGCAACGGCCTCCGTGGCCGAACGGTTACCATGTCGGACTGCCATGCAGAGGTCCCTGATTCGATTTCCGGGTCGGGAGAAATATGTATGGATTACATTTATTTCTCCCGTGAGTTTGGGTATAATAAAAAAATAATTAAACCAATGCTTGCAATGCAAAAGACACATTAGAGAGTCTTGTCAATTTAAGCATTGGCTTAAGACGTACTCAAGTTTAGGTCAAGTGGACATGAGACGCTACAATACCAAAATCGTTAGAGACAATGTGTGACCCTAAGAAGCGTCACAGATTAATAATTATAGTCATTGACTTACAATTATATGGACGTCGGGTCCGTGCTAAAAAGTGTCCGAACTTATAGGGCATTAAAATCGTATACAGAGCGTCATTCACGCTTTACTCTTCGTTTGTTCGACTGACAGCGAAGCAAGCAAAATTAGACAGTACTGCGATGACATTACAATTTAAATTCACCGTTTTAGCTTTTTCAAATTCCTTTACATGTCACTACGTTTAAATAGGTTGACTTGGGACATTTTTTTCGTGGTTTTTGTATTAGACCCGTCGTCCATTTATTTGTAAGTCAATGATTATAGTGAAAAATTCACGTTTCTAACTGTTATTGTGTGCGTGATCCAGGCATTTCTGTGCTGGGGCCCTACTCTCGAAGCACGAAATCTGGAGTTACGGCCGTTTTCCGACTATGGATGACCTACCGACATGACTTTCGATCGGGGCTAGAATTAAGCATGTATGACAACGCAATTTAACAGTTTCCCACGGGTTCGTCTTTTCGTTGACGTTGACTTTGAGAGTAGGTAGTTCCATAGGTCATGGTGGGAAAACGGCCGTAACTACAGATTTCGTGCTTTCAGGCCCCTGATCATAGTTAGATTTAACTGCGTCTGCGGTTGCACTAAACTCTTACCGTGCTAATCTAGAAAGAAAGAAAAAGAAAGAAAATACATTTATTTGTTTATCACAATGACATCGCAAAAGAAAAAAAAAGAAAACAAAACCTTCAACGTAAAATTTAAATAAATAATTACGAAACAAAAACACAAACAAATAAAAAAGCTTATAAAAATACATTAAATTAAAGCACGAATTATTCACACAAATAATAAAAAAAAAGTTTGCCACGCAAAGGTCTCGGTTTCGATTCCAGGGCCGGGAGAAATATTTGTATGACATATTTATTTCTCTCGTGAGTTTGGGTGTAATTTGTGGTTGTCTATGTGTCCCTAGCGCGGAGCTATGAGTGTGTGTGTGTGTTATTAGATTCTCATTA